TATATATATATATATATATATATATATATATATATATATATATATATATACATATATATATATATATATAATTAAACTTATATATATGTATACACGTAAATAGAAAAAAATTTACGAAACTGCTAACTTTGTCGCGACTCATGAACGTCACACATTGAACGAGGCTCCGAGGACCCCATCAAGATCCTTCGATAATTCCAGTTTGGCCGTCGCTACCGCGCACGTTACTGGCGATTTTATTCTTTCCCGATCATAATGAGGTGAGACAAAAGTTTCAAGATACTCGCGCGTCCGCGGCAGGACAATATTACTCTCTATTTACTCCATCTGTCGAAACAGTAATCCTATGTATATGTGAAGGTTTAACGAAAAATATATTGTATATATTGTGGGTTTATGGGAACGGCTCGCACGATGCACTCATCACGATTTACTCATTATTTACTATGTTCGCCCCGTGGTGTCATCGGTTGTCTAGAAAGTATCCGTATATAATAGAGCGTTACCTTAATAAAGACATGTTATTGTCGTCATTACTCCTCCCTCCCCCACAACCCTTTCTCCCCTTCACCTCTCCACGATTCGTATTTTTTATTGTAAGATCGTAAGATGTAGATTACCTATAAATGCTGTTTGCATAGGGAAACAAATTGTTTAGTTCATAAAATTTTAAGATTGCGATCAAGCAAGCGCGCGCGCGAAAGAGAGAGAGAGAGAACGCGTGAGAAAGAGTGCGTGTGCGTGTGAAAGAGAGAGAAAGAGCAAAAGCTACTATCGCACTCAGTGTGTTGTGGAGGGATGCGCGAAGAATGCAGAGGAGACTATTAGTCCTATCGTGAATGTATTATTAAAAAGCTGTAATGAAAAGTTAAAAATATTCTTAAAGATCAGTTGCATTGTATTCATTTACGTGCGATTAAACCGCGTCCGAAAGTAAACAAAGAAGATATCGTTTGATGTCACAAATTCATTCTCTTTCACAAAAAAATAGAGGGGGTGAGAAGTGGGGCGGGGAGAAGCTGATAAGGGAATTGTCCTCGACTTTCGAATCGCATTTATAATCATAAGACGATAAAGTAAAATGATCATTTGCAAATCGTCATTACAACCACATAATGGCTCCGTAATAATAAATTTACCTTGTAATTCTTCCCGCTGCAATGTCACTTTCAAGCGTCGGACGTAAAGCGCGAGCAATCGAAGAAAGATTGCGTTGATTTCGATGAAAGATGCACCTTCAATGATTGACGGATTATTCCCTCGAGAACTAAATGATTTTTCCGAATAAAAATCGCGAAATGCGCAACACGCGAGAATTGGCCGAATACATATGTACTGCACGAATAGAACGACAGGAAGGTTGCACACTTGACGAATTTCTGGAGGCATCCGGTAACTAATAGAAAACTTTATTCGTCGAGTTACCAAGGCTGCGTTCTAATATTTACTGTTAGCGCTGAAAAGCTATAGTTTATATTACGTATGCTATAGATTTTTTCAGCGTTGTTGGTAATTTTGAAACATAGCCTAAAAAACATTCTTCAATGGATACGTTGCAAAACTTATATAAAAAATTAAAAAAAAAATAAAAAGTGTCGCAAACCTTTCTGCCGTTTATGTAACTGTTAGTCTTGTTGTTATCGATTATTACATACGTTCCACGTCATGAGAGAGGCATCCATAAATATGATTTCAAAGATGATCGATTGTTATGTTGCATCTTTCAAAGCTGACGAATGTTTGTGCGCCGGAATAAGAAAATGTATAAAGCTATGTAGTATTACAAAAAGATAAAAAGGGATTACATATATATCTTATTCCCGCTTCTTATAAATACCGAAATTCACTTGACACCGTCATACGCTTCGTCATTCCATCCGTTGATGTAACGTTAAAAAATTACGTTGGTACCTTTAACGCGTATTATCGAAATTCATGTCGATAAAAAAGATCTCTTTAGTCGAATTTCCTTTGATATCAAAGCATCAAAAGAAACTTCTGATAATTAAACAAATTCTCCCAAGTTAAGCTTTGAGAGATTATTATGAAATTGTTGTAAATAATGATCTATCTACAAATAACAAGTCACATAAATGTTACACTACATATTTATTAATGATTCAGAATCACTGATACTGTATCTCCATAAGATTTAACAATCTGCCACTCGATACATATTGCAAATACTATAACTTTGACACAATTACATCTTCAAGACTTTGTCAACTTTATTGCCTTATTATTTTTTATTTGCATATATCTTGAACCTAGGCACCATATACATAGGTGATATGAGTATCGCACTAGCGATACAGAATAGGGAAAAAAGTTTTTCCTGAAACATAAATAAATATAAAACTTACATAAAATCAATCTATTTATGTAAAACTAAAGTTATATAAAATAGAGAAAGAAAATCAGCGAAATTTATATATATTTTATCTACATATACGTATATTTATGCATGCATACATACTATATGCACATTATTTTATACTTTTCTCTTTATTTCTTTCTCTTTATTACTTTTCTCTCTCTCTCTCTCTCTCTCTCTCTACCTCTCTAGCCAAATGAATTGATACAATTTCTACCAACAAAGGAGATTAAGAGGGGAAAGAAATAATAGAAAAATTTATTTCCGCAGTTTCACCAAGAGAGAGAAAGAGAGGTTAATTACGCTTATAGATTTATCTCTTACGTAATTCCACGAAATCAAATTTTACTCACGGCGTTGGAAATTTTCACTGTCGGTGGTGTGCTCACAATCACAGTACTGCAATTGCGAGCAATAACGCCCGATAAACGGGGTGCAACCCTTAAACCGTTCATAATCGAATACATCTTGAACTGTCGCACAAGCTTCTATGCCGCAATGCCGTAAAGAAGGATACTGTACGCAAGCGCACCATATAATATATAAAAGTCCATCTACAATAGCAAGAAGTAAAGGGGTGAGACCCGATTGACCACGATACGATTGGACACAGATTGTAATGATTGGTTCGACCTAGTAATTCACTAGATAATTCTTTTCATCGGTTGGTTGTGTCCAATCGTACCGTGATCAATCGGGACGCTCCTGAAGTAAAGCGGGGAACACACATCTTTACATAATGCACACGCATAAGAAAATTGACCAACCAGAGTTCTCAATTCTATTGTCACCAGTGCTGGGATTCTGTAACTCGTTATTGGACTTAACGACAGTTTCATTATCGTTGCGCAGCTTTTATATACTATAGAAAAGCTGCGCAACGATAACAAAACTATCGTTAACTCCAATAACGAGTTACAGAATCCCAGAACAGAGTTGGGTACGCATAATACCTCACGTTTTATGCGTGAAGTTTTGTGTGCAGAAAACTCGAGTAATCTGCGCAGATAACTAAATGAGGTTTTCTGCTGCATAAAACTTCTTTTAGAGCTATTCTACAATTACGTAAGCGAGTCGTAAATGGTTGTATATGATTACAACCAATCAGAATAAAGTAATCAGTAAATTAAACATTCTGATTGGTTGGCTTTATAACTGTTTTGTATATAAGACAAAGCATAAATATTTGTCCATGATCATGAAAAACATGAAATTGTGAATCTAATTCATCGCTGTATCCCATTTTTTAATTTTTTTATATCTATATGTATATACAGATGTATTAATGAAATTTATTCAAGAGCAGCAAGTAGGATTGTACCCAGACAGAAATGAAAAGTCGATTCGACTTTTCATTACGGGCTGGATAGGTTATTTTAGGCTGCATTCCGAAATGCACTGCCAGTACTGAAAATAAAGTCGCGGAACAAGCGCGGAAAAATCCATTGTCACAAGTTGTTACAAGTTGTTCAACCTAACCGCCGTTACGTTAAGACGTGTTCAAACACATTCGGACCTGATATTTTTTTGGAATTCATATCTTGGTACTTTGGATGAAAAGATAATAGAGAAAAGTTTTAGATCTTCCGCTTTTCCGCTTTCTCAACGTACGGGAAAAAATGATTCAATTCGCGGAACGCGGAAATCTAGAAGATTCTAGATAAATCTTCCGCGTTTCATGTAATGGCACCCTTAGCACGGACACGATTCGCCAGAAAATGGGCGTAGAATAGCATGCAATAAATTGACACTTTACCGGCAGCGTCTGAAAATGGGCGTAGGGAACGTAGTTCCATCTCAAAAATGGATGCAGATGGCGCATCGAACAGCGTGAAAATCGTGGTCTGTTCTTTTCGGTTCCGAAATTCACTGAAATTCTATAATATACGTAACACAAACTACAGATTTTCAGTATATTTCGGAACACAGCCTTCAACTGCACTGCTGAATTGGTGCAATAAATTAGAGTGAGAAAAAATATACTTGTCTCACCTTAAAGATCATATATGTATTATATAGAGGCCTGTGGTCCAAGCCTACAAGACACCTGATATTTTTTTGGAACTTGTACTTCGGTACCTTGGTAGAAATGGATATTTGAGAGAGTCTGCAAGCCAAGTAAAATATAGTGAAGAAGAAACCTACAAAAGTTTAGGATTCTCGGCAGAGATTCAGATCCATTGGGTATAATGTTATGAAAATCTGAGAGCAAGTAACTTATTTCACAAAACACAAATAGTATTTTTTTGTAAAATTTGGCTAGATACTCATTTGTAGAAAGGAAATGGATATTGTCAGCCCTACTCCTCAGGATCTGCAGAGAAAGCTATACTTCTTAGTAGAACAGTTACAACATATGGCTGGTGAACTTCCACCAAAGTATCAGATGCGATTACCGTATGAGTTGTTATCCGGTTTAGCCAATTCACTGTTAAACGATACTATTTTTGAGATAGTGAAGGGATTGATGGAGATACAGCATGTTACTGAAAAACACCTCTTCCAGCAGCGACTTCAGCTTTTGAATCAACAGAAGATTGAATCTCAGGAAGCATTATCCACGGCGACAACTGATGAGGAAATAATGACAGTAAAGGCGGCATTATATAAAAAACACAAAGAAGAATTGAAGCAAACTGACATGAAATTGGTTCTGCAATTGGATCAGAAAGTTTCAGATCAGCAAAGCATATTAGAAAAGGCAGGAGTGCCTGGATTCTATGTGACAACTAATCCGATGGAGATTCAAGTACAGATGAGACTGTGTGACTTCATAATCAGACTCAGTAAAATGGATTTTGATGATGATGATGTACCAAGTTAATATACAAGTATAGTTATTTATTTAGTTATATATTTCATTAGTTTTTATTATTTTATTAAATTTATGTGTACGTTATGTATTTCATAATATTCTCTTCTTACACTATATATTGATCAGAGTCAATAAAAACCAGAGCACTTTTCTTATTTATTATTTCAATGTAATTATTAATCATTGATAACAAATGTAATAGTAAATCCTGCAAAAATATACAGTGAATGCGTCAACATATTTTCTAGTATATGAAATATTTTATTCAAATTTAAATTCTTTCTGTACACAATAGTTGTAAATATTATATTAACAAATGTTAACATTAACCTCTACATCCATCAGCCCAAGACTATGAATTAATGCTTAAGATACGACATTCTCTTTCTAGAGTAAAAGAAATATTTTTAATACAAAAGATCTCATATCATGGGACAGAAATAAATTTTTAAATAGAAAAAAAAAACATAAGCTGTGCAAAAGATGTTTTCTTTTTTCTCCGTTTGTATATTACAGAAACAAATAATATTAAATTTAAGAGTGAATATGTTTATGTAATATAGTTTGACAAAAATTTGTTATATTTAAAATATATTTTACGGTAGTTTATAATTTTCTATTCCTTAAATATGGTAAGTATAGTATTCAACTATGTACATATGGATAACTTTTGTAAAGCTATATAATACATAATTTTATATCTTTTGGTATGCATGACCTGCACACTCAGTTCACTACATAGATCTTCTAATGACTTGTGCAGTGAACCAAGTTGCTAATGCACTAAGTGTACTGGTTAGCATGCATGTCAGAAAGCATGGAATTGTGCATCGTATGAAGCAAGTTTAATATAAAATGATATAAGTAATAATTTTCAAATTGATCACTTGGCAGTTGTAACGTTTGTATTATTTACAACCAGAAAATTTTTTCTTAGAATGTGCCAAGTATACTTACTAAATCAAAAGAGATTTGTTGAAATATCTTTCATAAAACATACAAGAGGCCAATTAAAATAAAATGTATTTCAAATAGTAATATTTCCATGTTTTTCTTAATTTTGTGTGAACATTAACCAATATATACATTGTATTCTCAACTATCGTACTATCGTTTTACTCAGTAAGCAAAATATTAAAATAGAATATTTTATCTGAATGATGTATCCCTCCAAATGCTACTTAGATTTATCCAAATGCCGGTGTCGGTGAAATTTGTGCGTTGAACGGTTTATCAGATTGAAAGGAATTGGTCTCGTTGGTCTGTGTAAAACATATACGATAAACATCGTCGATTGTTGAAGCAAAATGCACTTCCAATCCATCTTTGATATAGTTCGGCAAATCGTCGAAGTCTTTTTTGTTTTCCTCAGGTAAAATTATACATTTAACGCCAACTCGTTTTGCCTAAAAGTCGAAAGCATATTTTAGCATTATACATTACCTGAAAACTAGAACACAGCAACATTACATTGATATTGGCTGATGATAAATTGATTGAATTTTATACCGCGATAGTTTTCTCCTTAATACCACCAACAGGAAGAACCTTGCCGATAAGGCTCACTTCACCCGTCATCGCCACGTCTTGTCTGATAGCTTGATCCTTCGCGAGAGAGAGCAACGCTGTGACGATCGTCACGCCCGCGCTTGGCCCGTCCTTCGGAATAGCACCTTCGGGCACATGTATGTGTATGTGAGAATCGTAGAGAAATGTATTCGCAGGATCCACACGTGTCATGTAATTTCTTGCCACAGTCATCGCGATGCGTATAGACTCCTTCATCACGTCGCCCAGATGACCGGTGACTTCGAAGGACCCTTCGAATTTCTTGCCACCCGTTGGTTTCTTGATGCTAGTCTCAATGAATAGGGTGGAACCGCCCATGGCGGACCATGCCAGTCCCATTACTACTCCGGGCGGCGTGATGTCGTACATTCGGTCGTGCGTGAATACGGGCTTGCCTACAAAGTCATGGAGATTGCTCGCGACGACGGTAATCCTCTCGACTTCCTTTTTGACGATTTTGAGTGCCACTTTTCTATGTACCTTTTCAATATGCTTCTGCAAATTTCTCACTCCCGATTCGCGACAGTAAGATTTGATCAACACTGTGAGTGCGCTGTCGTCTATGGTAATTTGCTCATTACTAAGACCAGATTCTGTTTTAGCTTGCGGAATCAAGTACTGTTTCGCAATGGCCAGTTTCTCCTCGGCTACATAACCCGACATTTCTACCATCTCCATACGATCCCTCAGAGGTTCCGGAATAGTATGCGTGACATTAGCCGTGCAAATAAATAGAACCTTTGATAAATCTACTGGAACGTCTAAATAGTGATCCAAGAAGTTTGCATTTTGCTCTGGATCAAGCATTTCAAGAAGAGCAGACGCTGGATCGCCTTGATAGCCTCCTCTAACACACATGATATATTATTATTATTATGTACAAAATGAACAAAAAAGTCCAATATCGTTTCGCGAAAATCACATTAATAATCGAGATATTAATTGTAGATTTGTGAATAATTACGCAAGATACGTAAATGAGCTGCAATGGCGACGTTTATATTAGAAAACTGAGCAAAGAACTGAGCACAAAATCTTATACCGAAATTGTTTTTAATTAATGATTTTCTCTCGTGTATATATATATATATATATATATATATATATATATATATATTCTATGTGTAATAAAATATAATGTATAAAAGTAAATTACATACTTGCCAATCTTGTCTACTTCATCTATAAGTATCAACGGATTTTCAGTTTTGGTTTTCTTTAGGCACTGAATGACTTTGCCTGGCATGGCACCCACGTACGTTCGTCTGTGCCCCTTAATCTCCGCTACGTCCATCATGCCGCCAACGCTAAATCTAAAATACTCTCTGTTCAAAGCACGCGAGATTGATTTAGCTATAGAGGTTTTGCCTACGCCAGGAGGCCCGTAAAAACATAATATCTTGCCCTGTGTAGTACCCTTCAACTGGCTGACAGCAATAAATTCTGCAATGAAAAAAACAATAATTATAGACAATATGATAATATGTAACTTATTATTTGCAATTTCAAGCGTCCATACCGAGAATCCTTTTCTTTATGTCTTCCATTCCATAGTGATCCTGATCTAAAATTTCGGTGGTTTCCTGAAGATTTAAATTCTCTGTGCTCGTCACACCCCACGGCATGGATGTAAGCCAATCCAGATAATTTCTTGTAACACTATAAAAAAAATAACATTTGTTTAAATTGGTAAACTTTGTTAACTTATACTTGGTAATAGATATAATAACACCATTTCTATTACGCTTGATATTTGATACACACTTGAACTCACTGCTGTGATTTTCTAAGAAGGACAGTTTGTTCAATTCTTCTTCTAAGACATCCATCACTGGTTTAGGAACTACTTTCTGTTTTATCCTTTCCCGATATTTTTCTTCTATCGCATCTTTGTCATCTTTTTCCAACCCTAGCTCTTTCTTGATAACTTTTAGCTGTTCGTGAAGGATATATTTCCTATGTTGTTGCTTCACCTTCTCTTCAACCTCTCTGCCAATTTTCTGCTGTAGTTTGCTTAACTCGTATTCCTTCTTCAGAAGCGCGAGTGACAATCTTAATCTTTTTATAATCTACATATAAATACATTTGTCACTTCAAAACATCTTTTTTTTATGTTCATGTTAATGCATTATATAAACAATAAAATACGAGACGTACATCCATTTCTTCCAGGACTTGCTGCAATTCTTGCGCATCCGCTCCGGTTAAGGCAGCGCCTAAATCACTAAGATAAACTGGATTATCCACGACTCTTTGTCCTTGATGCAACATTTGTTGCAGAGATTCGCGATATAAAGGATTCATGCTGATTATGTCTCGTATCGTCTTAATGAGTTCCTGTGTCAGAGCCTGTTCAACAAATATTTCCATTTTTAACTTCGAAAATCGCCTAAAAAATAAATAACTCCGAACACTGCAATAGAATATTAAGAATTATACTATCGAAATCATTTCTGTTACCTTGATTTCTTCAGTCTGCTTAAACTTTTCATGTGTAACATTTACAGTTTCTACCAATAATATAGGTTGATTGCCTGATGGATCTAATGGTTTCTTCGTACTCTTTTCTGGTGAATCCACTGATTGTTTTATTTCCATTGGATCCGTTTCACTGGTCTTTTCAATTTGTTCTACAAATTTATTATCTACCTTTTTACGCAATGATCTTCGGCTCATCTTGCTAGTTGCAATTGTGTCGTCTACAGGAACGGTAATTGTTGTATTTAATAGTGGAAACGTCAGTTTCATCTCTGTGCACAGTAGGTAGGATAATATTTAAACAGAATATTACGACACAAAGTATGATCGTATAATCAAACAAGAGGACAATCATTCCATTCAATCAATGAGAAAATGGGAGAAGTACTATCATCATTAATCAATAAAAAAATAATTTACTTCTCATAAAATTAATGAGAAATTAGAGTTTTATATTATACTTTATTGTAGCTAACAAAAGAAGAATGCAACATAAATACCTTCCTTATTCTGTCCTGATTTTGTGTTGCCATCTTCAAATATCTGTTTAACAATCTTAATTCTTCTATGTGCCATAACTACCAATCTCATTCGATTGCCTAAATCCTGTACCTCGTGTACTTGTGCAAAAGTCCCAATAGGATAAATTTCATCCAAATTTTGAACAATTTCAGCTTCGTTTCTGTGCATGTATGTAATTAATAAATTAATGCTTATAGTGTTACCAATTTGTGTTTTAAAGTTATATTAAACAATATATTTCTTGTTTTCAAGACTTACTCTTCAGATTTTTTCAAAAAAACTCCTACGTAAGGTTGGTTAAGTTTGATCTTTCTACGTATCAGATCTATCAGAATTGGATTTGTAAGCTCAATAAGTTTGATGAATCTGGGAAATACTGGATTCCTATTAATAGCAATGACTGGTACATTAGGCCATACTTCAGGTACTACTACAGTTGCAGGCAAGGAAGCAGGATAATCTGCTGGTTGATCTCCATCTCCATCACTAAGTAAAAATATAAAGTAATAAGTAATATTCTTATTTATATTTATATGTATATATATATTGGTATCTAAATACAATAAATGAAATATAAAAATTTATCATATAAAAGATTGCATATAAAAGATATATACAATTAATCAAATTAAAGAAATTAAACAGAGTCAGCTTACCTTGGTGGATTTCGATTGAAAGCTTTTGCAAAAAATCTCACCGACATCACCGCGGGATGAAATCGACGTCCGCGTATATTTCTCAATAACTTTGATTTTTCAGCAAAGTATTCTGTTCGTACTAGTTGTGGTTTAATGTGAGCCGGCAATACCTGATGATTGACAGGCCGACTTTTGCAAAAAGTACGCGCGATCGTGTTACGCTGCCGCAAAATCGGCAGCAATTTAACGTTCATCGCCATCGTAAGATGTATCATCTGTCAAAGTAAATTTTCATAAATGTTCAATTATCTTGTTCATACGTTATGTAAAAAAATAACGATGAGAAAAAGCTCACAGGAAAATTGTGGCGTGATGTGACAAGATATAACGCGATTAGCAAATCTTAACCTAACCTAACGCAACCATCAAGCGATACTAGGCACCAGGCCTGTTCTTTGTTTCAGCTGCACTGCTGAACTGGTGCAATATATTGAAGTGATGGCTTCTGCACACAGGACGCGGTAATGCTTGCCGCGCGGCGGAAGTTCGCGTGACAGCCAATCAATATGCTGTTTTCCGTAATAACCTTCTAACTATTACGGAAAACTTTCTATTAATCTTAATATCGACGATATATATATCGTCGATATATAATCGAATATCGATATATATAAATAATGGTATATTAAGCTGATATAATACTCATCAAGAAAACATTGTATTGAATAAATGCGTCGCCGTTGATATGCGTTGTTAATATTAAAATTATCTAATAGACTTGGTTTACATTGTGCACTTGATACTCATACTAAATAGTAACTTTCTATTAGATAATCTTAATATCGTCGATATATATATATATATATATATATATATATATATATATATATATACAACGGTATATTAACATAATCTTAATATCGACGATATTACTAAACAACTACAATAATTTATAAACAACGGTATATTAAGTTAGTATAATACTCATCAACAAAACATTATATTGATTGAATACGTCGCTGTTGATATGCATTGTCGATATTAAGATTATCTAATAGAAAGTTACTATTTAGTACGCGTATCAAATGCACGATGTAAGCCAAGCCATAGAAAATTACTATTTAGTACACGTATCAAGTGCATGATATAAAAACCAGACCATTGTAGGCTGCGTTCAGATTCCTTACCCGGGTGCACTCTAATACAAGAAGTACTGTAGTATATGTGACATATACTATAGTGTTTCTAGTAACAGAGTGCACCCGGGTAGAGAATCTGAACGCACCCCTAGATGGGCTTTTAATCACCATGTAATTTCATCCTAATTCGAGGAAACGGTAACGGTATCTCGAACATCATTCGAAAAGATTGAGATTTATAACGCAAAGCATAAAATTGCATATAAATAAAGAAACTATATTTAATATATCGTGGCTCTTCTTTCACATGTAATCAATATGAATGATAGACATAATTCTCTTGATTATAAAAATATTTCTCTTATGCTAACAGGTAAATTATTATTAAATAAATTATATATATATATATATATGTTATATTATTGTTATTAAATTTTACATTTTCTACATTATCAATATTCAATAACACAACAACTCCTTTTTGTAGGAGAAATAAGTTCGGCTTGTATAAAAAGAAACAATTTAATGCAGCCTACAAAACATACAAGTGTATCTTTTATGGATAATATGGAGGACGATGACGAAAAATTTATCTTAGATTGGAAAAAAAATATTGATAAAAGTTCTATAACGTGAGGAAAACCACTAGTGATTTATTTGTATATATTATTATGCCATACTTACAAATTAGCATCTTTTCACATATATAGGCAAAATAAAGAAAATTATAGTATAAAAAATTTGCAAAATAAATCGTATTCATTGAAAAAGAAGTCAGCATTCAGTGAAGAAGATCAAAATCTCATGAAGCGATTTAAAAGATCTATAAATGAGAGCAAAGCTCTGTGTATAACTTCACAGAAACCTGAAAACATTAATTATTTTAACAATCACAATCTCTCCCCTAACAGCACAGATGTTCAGGGGACATCCAGAGAACATCCTGAGGAAGTCCTGAAGACATTTCTTCGTCCTCAAGACGTCCTTAGGACGTCCTCAAAAGATCTTGTGCTGTCTGGATCATTTCCTACAAATGCTACAGTTTTCACTCCTTCTATAGCATTTAATAATATTGATAGGAATTTCAGGTAATTTTTAATTTACGTATTGTTACACACAGCAATTAAATAATAATCTTTATTAAATAATAGTCTTTATTTCAATTATTGCATAATTTTCAGAAACAAAGCTAATCGATTTCTTTTTCACATAACTTCAAACATGCAGAAAAATCCACAAGTGATAACGCCAGCAAGTAAGATTTTTGCCGAAACAGAAATTGAAGAAATGATTTATTATGAAATGAAGTATTTAACACAGCCTCAAAAAATTAATTAAGTAATTTATAATGTGTTCTATATGTCGCAATATTGTTTATCCATATAATTCATTGATATATCATTTACTATTTATCTGTATAACGTTCATCAGTATCTTTTATCGATAATATAACGTTAATGAATATAAATAATATTTATTAGATACTTTTATATATTTGTCAAACAGAAATATAAATATTTTTTTTTTTATTTTTTGATGTCTGATCTTATCAAATGTAATATTAATGTAATAGTTGGGAAAATTTCATTGAGAGAGTTTATAAAATTGGGTATCCTAAATATATTAGGACATAGCAACCCACACAATATAAAGTTTTAAAAAGCATCTTAAAGATACCTTAAAGAAATTTAAAAGACGTTTTACTTGTGCAGACATCTTTTAGACATATTTCATATATCTTTAAGACATCCTTAAGAAGTTTATTCTACTTGAAAATATAAGGTGAATTTTCAAGTTGCCGCGAAAAGAAAGAAATTCTCGACAGATAGCGCTATAGACAAGAGGAATTATCATAACCTTTTAAATCTTTCAAACATAGGGAGGTAACGCGAACAATAAACATGATCGAAATAATTGTTTCTACATAAACGAGATTTTATGTAAGTTTAATATTTTCTCTCTTATTTATTTCAATTTAAGATATTATCAACTGATTTGATTTAAACTGACTGTAAGTGTACTGTAATTGATATTTATTTAGATCAATTAGAGAGAGATATATATATGTATAAAAATCAACCATGAGTGAATTTAAAGTACATCATTTGATAAGAGAATTGATTGAATCACTTGGGTAAGTGACAGATATATCATATTTCATAATCTGAGTGATTTTTAAGGTCATACTATTTTGTAAGTCAATTTTACAATATGCTCTATATATATGTATGTTTTTATAAAGAAAATATAAAGTATACAAAAAGAGCACTTTTATATACAAATATTATCTTTTCTTAGTTCAGAAACTGCTCCAGAAGAACATGTAGAGAAACTACAGAAAGAAAGTTCAACAACAAATGCACTAAATACTGTTGCTCCTCAAAGTTGCATTCAGCATCTTTCCAAACATTCATTACAACCAGAATTATTTATACAAAAGTATGAAGAACTAAAGTCTAAAAAGTTAGTGAGTTAATATAATTTGAGATATTGTATGCATGATACACAAACACTTTTATACATATAAATGTAATAAAAAATATATTTTTTAGGGTGGATTTACTAGGTCCGTTTATGCAAACTCTGGAACTAATATCTCAAGATAAGGATTTAATAAAGTTTTTGTCAAGATCTGCACCAGCATTAACTGCTAGTTCTACAAAAAATCAAGTCATTACACAAAAAGATTTGCCAAAGGTAATAATATAGCAGTAAATAATTGCAGTATCTAGTTCCAATGAAAATTATTATATAAATATTACATATACGCTACATAAGAAATATTTTAATTTAAATACATTGTTAGATCTGCAAAAATGTGATGAAAGCTGCTGTCGAAGGAGGAAAGAAATTAAATCAGCAAGCAGTTGGTAAAAAGAATGATACCTTAACAATACACAATTGGGTGGCAGAACGTCCACGTATAACTTGGGACTTTTATAGTGACACAACTGTAGCACTTTATCAAAGTTTGTAAAAATTTGTTTCTTTGAAATATAAGTGAGACACAAACTATGTGTATTTAAAATCAAATGATTGCAGAAGTTGTTCCTGTTATATCTCAAGAGTCTATACTTCTGTGGGATATCCTGTATTGCTTAAAAGGCATAGATGGGTCATACATAGTTTCAGAACCTTTAACAACTCCCTATGGTGTTAAGACATTTGCTATATCATCAGATATTAGTAAGAAATATGTAAAAAATTTCAATCTGATATTGAGTCACAAAAAACTCATTTGAAGTTCTTAAAGTACATTAACAGTGTAAGCAAGTAAAAGTATTCTCTTTTCAGGTATATCATTTAAGCAACTTGCACAACAGATATTACCTTTAGGTTCCTGTTATTCTATGACAGTGAGATTTGTAGAGGAGAAAGTCTCCCCAGATGATGGACAAGTTAATCATGCCTTGAGAGGAGCTATACGATCTTTACTGAAGGATTACTTGGTAGTAAATTACATTTTGCAGTGTGTAATGATATGAACATATAATTTATTAATTTATTATATGTTTATATAATTATATTTCAGCTTTTTGTTGTGCAACTTGAGATGGAACATGTCCATGGCAAATTAAATTTACAAAAGTTATGGTTTTATATCCAGCCTACTATGATTACAATGTCTATACTTGCTCAGATTACATCCACAATATGCAAGGTTGGTAAAATAACATCAGTGAATGTGTACATAGTAAAATTAAGAGAGTCAAAATCAAATTAATTAAATTAATTTCATTATATATTCACCGCACTCTCTTGACGATAATATATGAATGCCATATAGATTTATATTTAATGTATTAAAAGAGTTGACTCTCTTTTCTAATATTGTACATAATAGAATGTTGATCAATTTTAGGCAAATGCTAGAGGTGGGAAAGTGTTGAGCCTCCTCCATGAACAAACAATGAACAATATCAGTGGTGAAACCAAGTCCAAAGAACTGTGTCTGTATTTGATGCAAGCAGCGAGCATGCCGTATATGCAAATTTTAGAAAAATGGCTTTATAAGGGGATGATATGCGATCCATACCAAGAAGTTGGTATCATCATATGTGAACAGTAGTAAAAGTTTGTCTATCATACTTGCACATTTATACTTATGTGTTTATCAGTTCTTTGTAGAGGATAACGAATTGGTTCAAAGAGAAGAACTTCCAGTGGATTATTCTGCAGATTACTGGGAGAAACGATATACCATGCGGCCGGAAAGGATACCTGTGTTTTTAAGCGAGCACGCACAAACAATACTTAGAACAGGAAAATATTTTAACGTCATTAGGCAATGCGGTGCGTTCATCAAGAGTACGATATTGTTTGTTTTTCACGTTATAAACGTCACTTTATGCAATGTAAATTTCATCAATTAGTTTCATCAACTATTTGCAACAAATGTTTGATAAGCCTAAAATGCATTTATAGGTAAAACAGTACAATGGGGGAAACAAGAGCCTTTGAGTTACCAACATCAAGGACAGAAATACATAGCTGCCATCGATAGAGCATATTCAGAAGCTGCTAAAAAATTATTGGAAGTACTTATACATGAAAACGATCTGATGGGCAGACTGCGTAGCGTAAAAAGTTATTTTCTTCTCGCTCAAGGAGATTTTATAGTAAGTTCGACTTATTTTATTTCTCAAATATTTGATATTTTTTATACAACATGAGAGAGAAATTTATCCACTTTTTGATATTAGGTTCAATTTATGAATCTCTGCGAGGCAGAGTTAAGTAAAAGCATGTATGATGTCGTGCCACATCGTTTGGCATCTCTCCTCGAAGTTGCAGTGCGAATGTCCACTGCCGATTCAGATCCTTATAAGGACGATCTGAAACCTGAGTTACTTCCGTATGACTTGCAATACCAAATGTTTAGAATACTTTCGATTCAAACCAGAGATGAGAAAGGTATTTTATCGGAAAATACTACTCTTATTCAATTATATTTAATTAACCGAAATTAACTTCTATTACAGAATACTGCCTTCAGGCAGGTAAAACTCTAACTGGTTTAGAAGCTTTTGTCTTCAATTACGATGTCAAATGGCCAGTTTCTCTAATTATTAATAGAAAAGCGATAGCTTGTTATCAAATGTTATTTAGGCACTTGTTCTCTTGCAAACACGTTGAAAGGCTTTTGTGCAGGTAAGCTACTTTTGGTTTGATTAATCAAGATCTTATATCTCTATTTTAGCAAAGTATTAAAATTTATTGGATTACAGAGTATGGGTTAGTAATAAAATTGCAAAAACTTTTACGCACGAAGTGGCAATGGCTTACAGACAAGCATTCTCATTACGACAAAGAATGTTAGATTGTATACAACACTTGGAGTATTACATGATGGTGGAAGTCGTCGAGCCAAATTGGCTAAAATTTATAAATAAAATGAGCAAAGTGATTATATTTCTTTCTTATTGCTATGTAATATGAAACATATTATTATAACTTATTTATCATATACAAGTATATCCACGCAAAATTGCTTTATGCATACACACATGTGTTAAGTTTGATTTATTAAATTATAAATAATGTTATTAAACCAGGTTAGTAACGTTGACGATGTACTGAGCGTACACCAGGACTTGCAGGACAGTTATTTGAAAGAGTGTATGTTAACGGATCCCGACCTTCTCGGCTGTATTACCAATATATGTGCTATATGCGTAGAATTCTGCAATTTTATGCAGGTAAGTCTACAACATATTTTACATAATTGTCTAATCCACTGCATGTAACAAATTATATCCAGCGACCTCTTCCTCTAAGTTGCAACCATTATTTCAATTGGATTTTTATTACAAAGCTTTATTTTTAACTACATAATATAATTATAAATACTAATAAGTACTCCAAGTCTCATGTTCTTTCTTTCGCGTAATAATTTCATAAAAAAACATTTATATATTAGGAAATTTTATATATATTTCTTCGTGTAACTGAATTAGCCAAATTTTTTTATTTTTTTTTTTTTTTAATTTATTTTAAAAACACTATGAGAATTGCCATATCAACATTGAATAAGTAATGATACAAATAATGCAATTGATACAAATGATTTTATATTTTGTTATGAGAGAAAATTATGGATAAATATTCAATATCTATCAAATTGTAATGCCATTTTGCTAATGTTAAGCATATGAGCCGCTACTACATTGATGCTGAATTGACATCCATGATTGGTGCCTGTCAGGAAGATGTCTATGAATATGAGGTATATTGTCAAAGCTTTAAGCTCGTCTTCATGCATCTCTGTAGTTCTAGAATCATGAAGCATTTCTTTGCAGATGAGACCTTGTTAGAAATCATTATTATATCGTTAAGAACATGTGACTGTTATATTTATTCATTATTCCCCATTTGTGTGCATGATACGACTAATATTCTATTTAAATTTTTATCTTGTAAATGCAGTGGTGGCTTTAAAAAAAGATATTTTACAAATATTCTATGTTATATTACATTGTAATTTATTTACATTGCTTTTACACATATAAGAAAAGTTTAACATTTTATTGCATTCTTGTATAAAATTTTAAATGTCACGCGTTAGTGTTATTTTGGAAACTCCGTTGTGCAAGTATAAATGATACAAGCATTTGTTAATAAATTTATATTTTGTTCATCCTGTGAAGATGTCTGAAGAAGATGAAGTAAGTATAAGAATTAGAAATGTGAAGTAGAATACTTTTGGATATATGAAATGTATTCTATTTTCCTATAATGTATAATGTATATGTACTTTTAATTATATATATTTTATACCATTTTGACTCGATACTAGTAAAAACTGGCTCATTACACTAAAAATTATTTAAAAATGTTACAGGCATCTGTAAATGCTGAAAATTGTGTGATATTAAGTATAATATTCTTTATCATATATTTTTTTTATTAAAAACATGACATGAGGTAAAATATTTTGTAAAATTTATTATTTTTTCAGTTTTCTTTTTTTGGGATGTTATCTTTTTACATTTTTTTAAATATGAATTTGTAGAGGCTACTTATATAAAGAGTGTGTATGTGTGTGTGCGTGCGTGCGGGCGCGCGCGCGCGCGCGCGCGCGTGTATGTATGTATGTGTGTGTGTGTGTATATATTTCGTGCCTAAAATTTTTTTAGAACTTTATTTTAAAATATAAGTAGGTAAAATATAAATAGTTTGAAGAATTTTACCGCGCTTATTACACGTACGTTAAAATATGGTTCTGTAAAATTTAGATATTCTTAAAAATCTAGAATAACCATTTTCTGCATGTTTTATACAACATGGAAAATACGTTAATTTTTTTAACGTGTGCTACATTATTTATTTATGAAAATTTTGACTATATATGGTGTCCTATTTTAATCGATCACCTCAAATATCTCTTGTACAGTGCATTTTAGGGAAAAATGTTTCAGATAAAAGTTTGGGATTTCGAGGGGGACATAAGATAATATCATTGGTTTGACCTCGAGTGACGTCGTCAAGGTCAGGACAAGGTCACTTTGAATTTTTTAAATGGAATCCCCCATTTTTCATTACATATTCTTATAGCATACCTCGAAAGCTTTCCAAAACACTATAATAAAATATTTTTTCATTAAGTATTTTTCGAGTTAAAAGGCTTCAAAGTTGTTGCCATTAGCGTTGGTACCTAAGGTGTTCGACGGCTAAAATCTTTTGAATGTTGTTCAGGGCCATGACTTTGACAACATTTGTCAAAGTCAAGGCGATTGGAGGCTATTCCTAATATTTTCATTTCTTCAAATTTTACAGTAAAAACGAAAATAATATTTAAAATTATGGAGTAACATGTGGATTCCAATTGACTCTAAAGGGTCATATGAAGGTCACAATGCTTCGTCGGGGCCACAAAGAAGCACACGTGTGAAATCCCATTAATAAATTTCTTTAATAATCATAGCATTGTGACCTTCATATGATCCTTTAGAGTCAATCGGACTCCACATGTTACCCCATAATTTTAAATTATTTTCGTTTTTACTGTAAAATTTGAAGAAATGAAAATATTAGGAACAGCCTCCAATCGCCTTGATCTTGACAAATGTTGTCAAAGTCATGGTCCTGAACAACATTCAAAAGGTTTTAGCCGTCGGTCGAACACTTTGGATACCAATGCTAATGGCAACAATATTGTAACTTTGAAGCCTTTTAACTCGAAAGATACTTAATGAAAAAATATTTTATTATAGTGTTTTGGAAAGCTCTCGAGGTATGCTATAAGAATATGTAATGAAAAATGGGGGATTCCATTTAAAAAATTCAAAGTGTCCTGACCTTGACAATGCCACTTGAGGTAAAACCAATGATATTATCTTATGTCCCCCTCGAAATCCCAAAACTTTTATCTGAAACATTTTTCCTTAAAATGCACTGTTCAAGAGATATTTGAGGTGATCGATTAAAATGGGACACCCTGTATAGTCAAAATTTATTATAATATTGTAAATTATAAATCTACTAAAGTAATATAATAAAGTAGTAAGTTTTGAAACGCATTTTTGAGACACTTTGCATAGTATAATTGTCCAAGTAAAATTATTATCTGTGGTAAAAAGCATGGTTATTAAAAGTAGCACACTATAGTCAATACATTATATATTGACAATTAAATAGAACTTTGCAATAATATACTGCACATATTTGTTATTTCTTTAAATTGCTTCTTAATTTAATTTTCATATTAAGTGCGATACACATATTTTTACAGCGTAGTAGCTAACTATGTATTTTACTAGGTTGAAAATGGTGTCGCAACAAAAGACGGGGCAGGAAGCTTTGAAGAAACAATTGTATCATTAGATGAAAAATTTACTCAAGTATTGCTACGTCTTCTAGATCGAATTTGTGATTTGGGTTGTCATAACAATAATGAAAAGCTACTTAATGTCTTATGTCGGTAAGTTTAAAAAAAATAATTTTCTTAGTTTGAAATAAATTAATCATTTATTATAAGAATATATTACAAATTTCTGCATTTAGTAGCATTTCTTAACGATATATATGTTTAAATTAGGCTCGACTTCAACTTATTTTACACCGATATACTGATATGCCGAGGAAGAGAGACGACTGTCACGCGGCAAGATGTATCTGGTTAATAATTATGCGTTATTCGCGTAACTTGTTCATTGCTGTCGCTGATTTACTCTCAACATGTAGATTTGTGACAATAATCTGTTGATATATAAAGAGAAGAATTTTAATTATTTTCTATACATATAATAGAGATCATATTAATTTTCGCAATGACCACAATAACGTATCTGCTTGTTGATTATATTTGCTAACGTTGATTGTATTTATTAACAAAAACAATATTCTGGCTACAAATAGATCTTCAGAAAAGATCTTCGTAAAAGATCTGCTTATAATTATAACAGTACAAATTGTAATAGAATGTAACATATATATGTATATATATTCTTTTTTATTGCAATATATATATACATATATATATAGTAATAAAATGCAACATACATATTAAATAGGATTATTTATATTGATTGCTTCACATTAGTTTACACTCTAAAATACTCTAAAATAAAAGTTTATATGATAGATTATTTAGATTATTATTTTATGGATTTAAGTCTTAAACAGAACAGACATCGCCGAACACTCATATAGTATAAGTTCAAATGTTCTTTCGTTCGAATTTTATGCTGCACGTTCCATTGTATTATTAACATTATTATTCTCGACCGCAAGCTTTATAGTATTCAAGACGTCCTCAATCACCGTCAACTTCTCCTGTAACTTGCTCATTGTGATCATTATTCTTTCGTTGTCCGACAACTGTCTCCTACTGCAAATAATCCGCTTAGCTTTTTTGATTATATTAGGATCCATCTTCAGGGTGGCCCAACGATTGTATTTTTTGATAGACTCGGTGCGAATGTACTTGGTATAGCCTCTGTGGTTGTCATAAGCGTCTAAGTTGTCGCAAGGCTTAATGCTGATTTTGCCGTCTACCAGATAATTCGGAAACAGGAGGATCCTCCTGGTAAGATACTTGAACAGACTCCGGCGCAAGATATCACAACAGAACCAATGTCTAAACAGCATGCCGAAAACCACGTGCTCGACGTAGGCGACCAAACGTATTCTGGAGATGAGACTGACGAGTTCAGCCTTACAGAGGATCTCGGCGGTATCGCTAACCGCCAGACCATTGAGTAGATTGAACAGCACAATAGCAATGAGGAAGACAAAAAAAATGAAGACGAGGTGACTCCAGACCGGATGCGATTCGAATGATATATCGTCGGCGTCGAATTCACCGGTAAGCATGATGATTGTCTTGAAGAATGAATGGCCGGGATCGGGAAAGTTATCGTCGGCGTCCTTGAAGAGCGTGTAAAAAGCGAAAGCGAAAGCGAGAATGAGGAAGATGTACGGAAAGAGAAAACGTACAAAATTTAACGATACGGTACGAAACATTTCAACGCCGGTGGACAAGCGAGGATGTTGGCTGATCAAGAGCACCAGGTTCCAGGCGGATATCAGGATCACTATCGCACCAGGCACAGGTCCCGCGTTGCATAACACGGAAAAAGTCATGGCGATCAGCGCGAGTTCCAGCCAGTTTTGTGGGCTCTTGAAGTAATATATAGGACATGAAAAGAGTTGTATAATCTCCCGTAAGGCGAAAAGCAGCAACATCACGCCGATAAGAGGATGCAGAAAGCTTTCGTATTTCCAGGAGGCTGTTCTCAGGCTGTCGTTTAAAGCGACGTCGAAACTACCGTTTATCGTTTTATTTTTACTTGACGAACTATGATACGTCGTGCTCAGGATATAGATGTTCACCAGGAGATAAAACGCTACGTAAAAGACGAAATTGGCGCATAGGAAATGCCGTATTCTGTGCCACTTGAGATAAAGGAAGGACGACATCAGTGGGTGTTTAAGCAAATGCTTGAGACCGTTGTTGCAGGCAATGTACTGGAACACTTCCATTTCGCGATAAAGCCGATGCGCTCTCTCCGTGGATCCGTCGACATGCGGCATCAGGCAGCGGTAGTCGAACTCGATCGTGTATTCATTCGTTCGGTGCTTCTGCGTTTGCAGGCAATCGTCCAAATATCGCGACAACGTGCTCACTGAGATGTCCGCGACGGGCGGTACGTTGAATTTGTTCATGTGTCCGATGTAACTACCGCGTTCTAAGAGCAGAGTCACCGCTTCGTGGCAACCTGCCCTGGCCGCATAATGCAGCGGCGTGTTGCCCTTATCTGCAACATGAGAAGATGTTGGAATGTTCAGCAATATTATCGACGAATAAACGGAAACTTGATAGCGGCCGTTCAAGCGCCTGTCTCATCCACAAGAAGGTATCACTTTCCTTGATACAATTTCTAATACTTGTAAAATACTTACCATCAGCGCAACGAATGTCCACATATTCTTGCTCCAGGATTAGCTTTAGACATTCAAGCCGATTAGACGTATCGTCGACGTCGTGTCTGCTGGGCATTCCTAGCTCCAAGCAAGCATCTAGGACCAGATCGTTTGCTGCTCCAGGCTCCACATTCAACAGTTCCCGAAGAATACTATAATGACCATTTCGAACCGCTATCTGCGCGGCTCTCTTCACGTTGAACATACTTTTCTGAAGTTTGCTCAGAGTCCCTACCACAGCGCCGAGGAAATTATGTTGCGCGGCTATCTCCAACAAATCTTCGGCCACACCGTGAAGCATCTGCGGTTCAATGATCTCCAGACTCCTAAGGAAGTTCACCTCGTCGTTGACGGTCAGATAATATTTGAGATCATGCGCGTTCATTTCTCTGCTTTCGCACTTCGGTGGCAACGACAAGTCCGGCATGTTCTCTTGTATCACTTCGCGCGCCGTCTGATCGTTGTAGTCTCTGTAACTGTCTAGATCGGGACGCTGCTTGCACACATCCAGGATCAATTGCACCATCTCGCGCTGTCCATATATTGCCGCCATGTGAAGAGCCGTCAGGCCCTTGCTGTTGGGAATATTGGCGCTGGCTCTTGCCTCCAATAGCTGTCTGGCACACATTAGATTTTCCTCTTGTACCGCGATATGCAAAGCGGTCTCTTGTCCCGCCTCCAAATTCACATTTATCATCGAATGCGTTAATAATATCGCCAGTGTTCGTTCGTGCCCGTTTTCGGTGGCGAAATGTATGGGTGCGCGATTATGCACCTCGTTCACCCTATTAATCATTGCCCCGTTGGACAACAAGAGACTCACAAAATCCGTCAAGCCGTTTCGGCTGGCTATATCGAGGCACGTTTCTTCGTAGTGATTCGGAAAGACGTAGTTGATATCCAAGCCAGGTGGTCGCTTCTTCAAGTTGTGTTCCATGATGTTCCTAAAGGAATGGAAGTCCTTGGATCGTAGGGCATTCAGCAAGAGTCTGTAGAGGACATGCCTGTCGGTGAAGGTAGTTTCATAAACGTTCAACAATTGCTCCTGCAACAACTCTTCCTCGAGTTCCATTTTTGCCTCTAGAAACAGAATGTCGAGCGTTAGAATATTGACGATATATTCTTGTGAAAAATGAGAAAGATTAAAACTAAATTCATGAGTAAGGAGAGTATTGTAATATAATTTTAAAAACGATTAACTCTCTTCTGTCACTGTATAGTTTCTTACCTTTCTATCTAATGCACTTTCTCACATGAATTGTGTAAACGTCGTTACAGCAGCTGCCTACTTCTCTAACATTCTTCTCGATTGTATATTCTACAGAATCTGCGAACAACAATGAGCCCTTTGATATATTCCGCGCCGACGAAAGATATTTTGACACGTTGACACGACAGCTTACCTGCAATTCCAGTTGGGTACGCTGAGAAAAAGAGACTCGAATATTTATTTGTGGGATATAAAATTTATTTATTATATAAATAATCTTTATTTCACGGAAATCCCACAAATAAATATATTTAAGTTTCTTTTCTCCCTGTATAATATAATGTATTCGTATATTAATAGACGGATTGTTAAGAGAACGGGGTGTTAAGAGGATACCTGCTATATATTTTGCTTACGACAATTTCAGTAAAACGCTTGCGAAAAACGGATTACAGATATTATAAATATCTTTCCGTTTTGTAACAGTGGATCGTTTTATTTTCGATCGCGCTCATTTCTGTTTTTGTCGCTAATGCGTAAGAAACATACGTACAAGAAATGAAATGAGAAGAAACAAAAAATGTCACATATGTGCTACATTACACTTGCAAAGTTGTCTAATACGGTACGTGGGTGTTCGCCATATGACGACTCCGATCGTGAGCTCACCGCCACAATTTACTCAAGTACCAATTAAGCGTTCCGCTGCGTTATTTTACCGATTGCACAAAGCGCACAGCTTTTGTCCAGCACGCACTTTCCCGTAATTTTTCAGTTATCGCTCTACGATATAGTTATTCGACTTTCCAATTGTCAAATGCGATAGAGTCCCTCTCATTGTGCATCGGAACAAAGAGGCTGTCCGGATGCGCTTCCTGTTGGAATTCATTTAGACTCCAAGTATGTACAGAGAGAATCAGCGGAATGATTCTTTTTGGTTTTCACGAGCAACATGTTTGTGAAAAAAAAAAACACGAAACTTGCAAAATAATTGGGATCAATTTCACGACATAGTCAAATGTATAAAATTTGAAGAAGTTGCTTTAGTCCCTAAACGTACCAGATAATACTTGTCAAATATTTCAAAATATGTCGAAAGCTCCTCAAAATCGGGTAAGACACTTTCAGTTCTCTCCTTATAAGTAAAAAATTGTTGAGATAGTATAGTACGAAACGTCCCTTTTAATTCTAAAATACTGCAATTAATAACACTTTTAAAATTTTTTAGGCACTTTGTCGCGAAGTGAGAGAGTCTAGTCGGCAGAGTGACACGATCGATCCGACTGATACGACAGATGTTATTAAACAAAAGATATCTGCTAGCTTACATTCGCTTTTAATTCCAAATGTGCACTTGTGAATTTGTCGCGCGTGTGAGAAGAAATGCGAGATCAGCATAAGTTAAGTGTACGAAGGTATCATATTCAAGAGTCCTGGCAGGTTTTGTCGCCATGCTTTGCTTGACTACCGTATCTCTTGATTACGATAGCTTATCGATGGCTCATCATTCTATAATTTCCGTTATGCTTTTATAGAATACTCATCGTCTTTTATAAAATACTCATTGACTATGTACGAATTATTCCAGTAGGGTTTCTTCTTCTCTCTTTTAACCGAGCATCGTCGCAGTACTAATTCCACATTGAACACATCAGGAGCGCTTAACAAGTGGTCCACAGCTGCATCGGGAAGCTGCACGATGAAAGTAATCTCGCATTCCTTTCACTAAATCAATCCTCTCTCTCTCTCTCTCTCTCTCTCTCTCTCTCTCTCTCTCTCTCTCTTCCTCTTTTTTCTCTGAAAAACCGCCCTACACTTGCAATCGTATCGATACGGCACATTTATACGTCGTACCAGTGTGATTAATCAATGAATGCACATATGATATTAATAGCGCGTGTAAGTGGTAATACTTGATTTAATATCTTACGCACCAGTATCGGACCCACCGTGCCACTCTACAGACCGGACTAGCTTGCGTCGCGACGATCGCGACGACGATGACCATGGTGGAAGAAGAGGAGAGAGAGGGGTCGGGGTCTCATCACGATCGGGTGTCGGATATTCTACTCGTAGCTCTGTTCTTACAACAGTGCCTCTTTTAACGTTAACACAACGCTCAACCGGTTTTTTCTCGCTAACAGAAGATCCTTCATCCTCGCGGATTGCATATCTTGAGCAAAAAACGATGACGTAGCAGAAACACCGCTTAAATCGCGAAGAAAGAGGATAAAATGTTTGTGTAGTCAGTTGAATGTAATTGCAGGCGATTGTAGACGATACCTGCAATTGATGCATCTTCCCCAAGTAGCAGATCAAAATGACGTCAAAAACTAGTCATAAATGGTCGATTGACGTCATGTGACTAAATAACGACGTCTTTAACACGTCTTTTTTGTAACATCTTAATGACGTTTCTGTGCAATGTCTTAATGATATGTTATTGACGTTTAGAGATGTTATAAAACTTCATTAAGTCGTCTTAAAATGTCGTCATCGGTCTGTGACATTAGACCGTCATTTTGACGACATTTTCACGACATTTTTAGTCATTCCTTGGTAATTTTTGGTCATGAACTGACCAGATTTGGACGTCATTTAGATATGAGTCTGCTACCTGGGTCGTTTCCTTTTCCTCTTTATGTTGTGTTTTCCTCTTTATTAACTTGAACTTTTCACTAAGATGAAACGAATCGAGATTATCCGGTCAGTCTAACAAACAGACTGATTTACTTCGCGCTCACTTTTTCAGCACACTATGCTACACGCGAGATGGTGTATCTTAAAGATCGAACATTTTTTAATATATATTTTATCAATAGTACCACGAGAAAATTTCCATAATCTCTCGCTTCTGACGTCATAATTCGATATAGCGGCAGTGAGGAAACGGGAGTCTCAAATACGAAGCGAAGGTGCTGTCGTCTTAGCACCATAATTGGACGTGTACGCGTGATTTCATAACCCACGCACCCCAATGTTCTCAATCTCCATCCTTGACTCTTTCAGCTTCGCGATGTCCTGTTCGTCGAAAGGGAATCGGCTAAAATTAGAAGCTCACGCCATATAGCAAATGACGCGGTTAAATATTCGTGACTTATTGTACAGGTGTGCTGAGGTAAGAAATCGTTCTTCTCTGCTAACGTTGTTCAGCATTTTATTTTTACCAGTCAAATAGGACTGGACATGATGGCAGATGATTAAGACGAAAGTTCAAAGTTCTAAATCTTCCATATTGGAGAAAATATGCCTTTATACCTTTATATCAAATATATCTTTACGTCGAAGGCAGAAATGGAGTCGATAGATTGAGCTGAGATAAGTTTTCAAAGATGTTTTAAGTTACGGTTTACTTTCCAGTTCTGTTAATGTGCACAGTTTATCGCATCATCATGATCATTCGTCATATTACTCGTAGATGTATCAAGAAAATACTTTAACATTAATTTCGAGTAAATGAATCTGAGCTTGAATATCTGAAATTAAAAACAAGCTTCACGAGTTATGTTCGACTCGACTATTCAAGATATACAGTCATGAAAAAACATCATTTAAATGCCATTTAAACGCCATATAAAATATCGAAAAATAACGAAGGAAACCACTTGATGCTAGTTCAAGGTAGACGCGACATTCGTGCGTGTTTAGAATAGATCCTCAAATAGTACATATATATAATAGTACATATATATATATATATATATATATAAAGAAGTAAATTCCATCTTAAGAGAAAAGTTTTTTGCAAACGACGGAATTTTTCGACGATGTTCTTCCTGGTATTGAATATACGTGTTATCGAATTACGCGATGACTCGCACTCCAGATCTGTACGCGAGGCAAGCTACTTGCAGGCGCTTGCGTTTCAGGGTTCTTCCAATCACTGCAAAAGGTGGGGACTCGATTCCGGGAAACTGGCGCACGTCGTGATACCTTGACGTTTGGTCTTCAGTCGCAGGTAGACGCGTCTTAGGTGCGCATCCGTGCAGATCTCCAAGTGTTAAGAGCACTTCGAAAGTTAATCATCAGCCGTTCTCAGCTCTCACCGACGTGAGACACTTTCACGAACCTTTTCTTCAGATAGAGTGAGTAAACTTACTGTGCCTTCAGTACGCAATGATCAAATATTACGTTAAAGTATCACGATTCTGTGATGACCATTGCAAAAACTCACGAGATGCTAATATTAAAGAGGCGAGTTTGATGTGTAACGAATTGACGTCAAGGTGTCGAATCGAAGTGATCGTACCGTGATCAAATTCGCAAATATATTGACACGGTAACATACGTTACTTTCACAGCGCAATTGTCGCACGTACAAATATCAAAATGGGAAATATTTTATTGAAATGTTAAAAATGAGGTTTTATTATTATTTTATTATTATTATATTATTTTCTTTTATCGGAATTCTGTTTTCCTTGATCCTATTCTTGCTCGATATGTTGCTATAACATAAAATTTTATCGCACATTCATCATCGATAAATGCGATATAATTCGAAATGATTTATTCATTTGAATAATAACACGTAGTAATAACGTAGTAAACGTTATAATTTTCACTTTGTTGCATGCAACGCTGGTATTAAGATCATGACGAAGATAATGACATCAGTTTACAGCATAATATTTCAATGGATCGACAAGAGATCGACAAGATCGGACTTGTGTGCCGATTGTGTGTCGTTCTTTCAAATATAATAAACTAGGCAAACTTAATTGATTATATCAGCTTAGAATATAAAGTTAAGTAGTTATAAGTAGTTGCCGCTGTTAATTTGTAAAAAGAATTACGAGATGAGAAAAAGGTTCGGGGGAAGATAGATTATTTTGTATTATATTTACAAAATTATATTATGTGAGAGATCGCAGATATACAATTGTATTTCATAAAATCAATCGCGTACCTTGTAAAGCAAAAATTGTATAGCGATTGTATCTTATAAGAATAATCGGTTTCGTAAGGTTTGCATTCGCGAGTCTTACTCAATCTCTTTCGCTCCAATTTCGGCAACATCATGACACGTTTGTACTCACGTGTACTCTTATGTATCGGACCATGTATTTACCACTTCACTTTCATTCCCGTATTTGGATAACGAAATGCTGTGTACACACTTGTGCACATACGTATGTACATTTGGTATATCCATACATCGTGTGCCAACTGAAAATGAACGCACTCAAGTATATACAGTACATAACACGCGCGTGTGTACAAGTTATGTATAGTTACTGTACGATGTTATATTATCGCGAATTTTAGGGAAAAAAGACGACTCAAATTAATTAATTTTCGACATGTTTTCTCTCCTCGCGATGCTCAACGCCAACAACACGTCAACAACATCATCTTCCTTTTATACGCAATACATCGTACCGAGCGATGATGTAAGAAATTCGGCGCAAATGAGTGACTCGCGAGATCACCTCTAACCATACTCGGTAACCGGCAATCGATCGTTATGGAACACTTTGTACGTCGTAGGCGATGCTGAAATGAATGCTCCTTGGACTTTTTCACCGATAGTGACGTATAAAATCGGCGTATGATCTAATATTAAATGCAAACAATACCGCTATACGTCCAATCGATACGACTACGCGTTTATAAAGGTTTGTTCCTTTTAAATTCAAGTAGTCGCCGCAAACTTTGAAACCGTGATATCACGAATCGTCCAAATCGTTTCCCAATTTTGTCACAAGATATACCTCACTTTGTGCATCAATGATTCGCGGGAATTACATTATTATTATGAGATATCGTGTATTTAGGCGCTTTTTCAGCTTGCTGGTGTTCCGTCACATGGGCGGCAGCCGATCGCGAATACCTATCATGGTCATGCTCCTATATGGTTCGCCATGAGTCGTTTCTGTACCCCCCGAGGTCGCCTTCATTGCATAATTCATGGACGCCTGGATGTACATACGATTTTACGTCTCGTTATTTATATCAGAAAGAATCATGTTTCATCCGAGAGAAATTCACGCGTGCAGTCAGCAAACAATTGTCAGACCATTTTAATCTATTTTTTGGAAAATTAGAATGATGGTCTATTTCGGACATCGCAAGGATGTGTAAAAGATGCTTAAGTAAAATAGAACGTTTTTTTAGACGTCTTTAAGACATCTTTTAATAGTTTCTGCTGTTTAGGATATAATGCATAAAGAACTTGTATATTCATTTGTATCATCTGATATATCCGATAGCAAGGACAGAATACTCGGTTGACATGGTTGGAATGGCACAAAAACCTTGGACACCCACGAAACGACGAGGCCCGATTGCCGCGGAATATAGCAGCCCGGGGCCAGCCTGTGTCACTTTACCACCACTAATTGGTACGAATTTTGTCAATTTTACGATTTCATAAAGTTTTATCCACAATATATATAATATGCAAAGAGACGGTAATAATCGAAAGCAATAACAACGACGCACAATGTCCGCAGGAAAAACCGTTCCAGATTCCAAAAGAGAAAGAGCACCGGCATTTTCCTTCGGTAGCAGGTAATTAAACTTTATAGATCCAGTAGAGTAGAGAACTGTTCTCTACTCTATCTGCACAAACTGCTAATATCGCTACGAATATTCTCCAGACACTCGGCGAAAGACAATAGTCCGGGACCTGGCCCTGGACAATACAACGTCTCTGGACTTAGCGCAAAAGGTAAATGTACATACCTTTTACCGTGACGGACTTCCCTCGCCACGTTAAAGTAGATCAAGTGTTATAGCGATGAAATTCGTTTAAATTAAATTCATGTTAATGAATTAAACGAGATACACGTATATTAAATACACATACGTGAATATACAATTGTGTTTCGCAGACTTGCGAATGTATCGGCGTTTCTAGGTCGGCCGTGGTATCGACCAAACTTGAAACCGACGATATTCCATCAGAATGATACCATTTTAATTGCCGGCGTTCACGAAATTCCTTCGCCTCGGGTTTGAACAAAGCATATCTCGATTGTTAATAATCCGCTAGTGATACGATGCTAATCTTTCAGGAAAGGATGCCGCACCTGCCGCATCGTTGCACGGCCGAACGAAATCGACAAAACCGGAAGTAACTCCCGCACCCGGCGATTACAATCCACAAAAGGCGCAGAAGGTCATCCTGGACAGCTCCCCGAAATATTCCTTCGGCGTTAAAACGCAAATCGAGAAGATCAGCTGTACACCCGGTAAGTCTAAATATTTCTAAATATTTATGTTATTATAAATAATAACATAAATATTTAATTATAATGATTATATAATACGATATAAGTATCATATAAATGATATAATGAAATACATATTTAATTAGTATAAAAATGCTTTAACGTTACATACATCTTTCTAGCAAAATGCGTCCTGAGAATTATTATTTTATTATCCATTACCATAATGCACATATAAAATAATGTAAATGGTATAATATTTAAATATGAATGAAAGTTTTTGTTCTTGAAACAAAGAGATATTTTACACGAGCAAACAATTGTACCACCGCTTACGTCGTATTCGTCACGTCGTGACAGTTGAAATTTATCGAAATACATGTTACATCTCGATCGTAGCACCAAACGACTATCGCACTGAAATCGTGAATCTCTACAAAGCGGCAGCGTACACTTTCGGCGTAAAAGCTGTATCGGAAAGACCGAGTGATGCGCCCGGTAATTATGCAACAACCAATTAAATACACGCGTATCCGATATTTTGTCCACTAATTACGGTAACCGGCCGCTAATAAGAGACGCATACGTGCGAAACAATAATGCAAGCCTAGGAAAAGGAATGCTACGGTAGTTTCAACGCGTCGATCACACTTATGTACATCTCAGTGGAACTAATAACATGCTGCAGTTAGTTTGTTCTCATTAATAAAATGAGAATCATTTAATAGCACGTTGTGTGTACCACAGTACTTATTTATTTTCAACATAAAATAACTCGAGTTTTTTTTCTGTCATGTAAAAATACAATTTGCTTCTCTTGAATTCACTCTTCCAAAAGTCGCAACAAGTTATTGAAATTTAACATATTTTACAATTATTATATCAACATAATGGTGTTTAGGACAGTCGAAGCCGTACCGCAACTAATCGCGATTACCGTTACCTACCTTCGATGGGACTTCATTTGGGAATATATCCAAAAATCAATATTAGAAACTGTTATCGCTGAGGAATCGTTGTTTAGGTACAGACGTATCCTTCCTTTTTTTTCAACACACGAACATTAGGACTCACGTAATCTAGCGATTTGAACGTATAACAGTATGGGACAGTAACTTTGACCATAACTTCCATGCACCATAAAGAATTTATCAGTGTGTTGTATTGCTGCAAGATCGTAGCAAAAAATCTACATTTCTTCTGAATCTTTTATTACTATCTTTCAAATTCACTGTAAATTTAATATGCACGTGTGGTATCTGTGTGGACGTAAATGAAAGTAATTGCGTAATTACTGTAGTAGAAAGTAAATTAACGTATATAAATAGTAGACGAGTGACACACACACACACACATATAGTTTCAAAATAGTTTCTGAGAGTCTGAAATACGCGTAAAGAATTAATAGACTAGTTGATACGTAGATGCTACATACGTAAGATCGAATAGTAACGAATTAGTAGCGCGTCGCTTGTCGTCGTAAAGTAATTGCTGCATGCCTCATGAGAGACATCCATTTATACCCCTCTATTTTATTGGCTTATACCATTCAGTATCCCTTACTCTCCTCTCTCGGAGTTAATCCCGCAATTTCGGCAGTAATGCTTGTAGCAACTAGAAAATCGCAGCATGCGATGGAACTCGTAAAATTGATCGGCAAATGTCTAGCCCCAGGTACTTATCATCCCGAGAAAACGAGACTGGACAGCGCACCGCAGTTCACATTTGGAATTAGAACGCCGCTCGATAAAACGAGCGACACGCCAGGTAATATGAGAGACAAAAATTATAAAATTCAGTCCGAACAATCTGAAAAATTAGCTCGATTTTATTTTGTATCTATTTTTCCAATTGGTCACAGCACCTGGAGCATACAGTCCAGAGAAGGTGAACCTCGAGAGAGGTCCGCAGTATAGTTTGACTGGCAAGGGTCGAGTGGAAAAGTGCAACGGAACACCAGGTACACGGAAATTCACGTATTCGTTTTGGAACAAGTGCAATAAACGCAATTTCTTCAACAGCACCGGGTACCTATTGTCCCGAAAAAGTGAGACTGGACGCGTCGCCTCAGTTTAGCTTCGGTCTAAAGCCTGCAGTGGAGAAGCCAAACGAAACACCAGGTATATATGTCAGATAATTCGTTGTAATAAAATACATGTTTTTCAAATATCGCATATTTGGATACATTTGTTCGTTTTAGCACCTGGCGCGTACAGTCCTGAGAAGATAGATTTGAACAAAGGACCGCAATATAGTTTGAGTGGTAAAGGACGTGTCGAAAAGCCCGCTGATACACCAGGTATAATAAATTGCAATTTGCGTGTGTATCTTTATATAAATTATAATATATGAACTGCACAAAGTGCAGTTTTCTTACTTTTCAAGTATATAATATCCAAGGAGTAAAATATCTATATTTTTTTTCCGTGTGAGTACATTAAGTAAAGGATTAAGGAAATACATTAAGTAAAGGATTAAATAAAGGCATAGGAAAGGACATTAACGGAAAATATATCTCTCGCATAAAATAACAACACAATTTTCAGCGCCAGGAGTATATTGTCCCGAAAAAGTAAAATTAGATACCACGCCGCAGTATAGTTTTGGAATTAGGCCCCAGCTGAATAAACCTAGCGATACACCAGGTAATCAATGCGCATTGCTTCTGCGAAAATTTGAACAATGATTGTACGTGTTCGTGTATTTCGCATAGCACCTGGAACCTACAGTCCGGAAAAAGTGAATTTAGATAAAGGACCGCAATACAGTTTGACTGGCAAAGGGCCCGCGGAAAAGCCAGCTGACACGCCAGGTGTGTGCACGAGTTACACATACGAATTACGTAATATACGTAAATATAATATTATAACAATGCAAATATTTATAGCGCCGGGCACGTATTCTCCCGAAAAAGTAAGATTGGATAATACGCCGCAGTACAGTTTCGGACTTAGACCCGCTTTGGACAAACCTACTGACACTCCAGGTAACCTATTCCTAAAAGTATATTATACTGAGCATACAGAGATGTTCTATGTATGGTAGTTGTTCTTACATGGTCGCTTTGCTATCTTTTTTACATCATCTGTTGATACAAGTATTTTATCCTAATAATCGTCTTTATTTTTTTGTCTGCAATTCTTTTCAAATGGATGAAATGTGCAAATATTCCTCTTTTTGCTCACTGTATTTTCAAGAAATAGTAATGCAATACAAGACAATCTTTTCAGCGCCTGGCGCATACTCTCCAGAGAAAGTTAAATTAGATGCCACTCCTCAATACAGTTTTGGGATTAGACACGCTTCAGACAAACCTAGTGATACACCAGGTAATTAAGACTCGTCATTTTGATGCAATCTTGACTGTTATCATTTATATTTTTCGTGTAGCACCTGGAACTTACAGTCCTGAAAAAGTAAATTTGGACAAAGGGCCACAGTATAGTTTGACTGGCAAAGGCTTCACACCGAAACCTGACAATGTTCCTGGTACGTTTAAAAGTTCCTTGAAGCACGATAGTAACATCACTGATTATCCGCATTCATTTTTGGTACATGTTGCTTCAGCACCTGGTACGTACAGTCCCGAGAAAACCAACTTAGACAAAGGGCCGCAGTACAGTTTGACTGGGAAGGGGGCACCGGAAAAATTGAATGATAATCCCGGTGAGTGTTACGATCTCGATTTATATTTTCAAAGCGCATTCTTTCTTTTTTTCTTTCAACGTGCTATTAACGCACAAAGAAAAAATAATAAAGTAATAGATGACGTTGATTTCTGATTGGCTCGGTAGGCCCTGCCGATTACAAACCAGAGAAAGCTCTTAATCTGGAGCATAAGCCCTATTTCAGTTTTGGTAACAGAACACCCCTCCATAAGTCTCACGATACACCAGGTAATGGTGTGAACTAACAAGAAACTAATCTACTGTTTTCTAAATGATCTTTAATACGAATAAAGATGTAATAATTGAGCAACGGCGCACTAATTTCCGATTACTTTGGTAGGCCCCGGTTGCTACAATCCGGAGAAAGCACAACATTTGGAACACAAACCTTATTTCAGTTTCGGTAACAGAACACCATTGTATAGAGCTAATGATACACCAGGTATATAATGGTGTAAATTAGCAACAAATTAATATTATACACACTTTGATTACTCATTACTTTCTCTGTAGATAGAAAATAGTGTGTGAATGCAACATACATAGTGCGATTTTGGAATGTTTTCGTAGATAAACATATTTTCATCCCTGTCCAACTAACTCCCTATAAAGGTGATTGTTTATAATAATGTTAATTATGTAGTAGCATCGATAATTACTAAACTAACAATATCTCAGGTGGAAAATGTATTGAATGCTGAAATAGAGATATCGAATTTGAGGCCACTATCAATGTGCAAATCTCCGTCAATGTGCTTCAACGTATGTGATAAGCGTAAACATATTGCGAATATATTGTGCGTAATGTTATGTTCAATATTTTTTCCTAAATACATGTGTTAGTGTATCGGCTAGCAGCCTTATGCACGAGATAGATGAATGTGATAACCGTAACGATGCTTTTCGAAAGAGTATAGAAACATTTTCTAATTCAACTTGCAGCTCCCGGTACGTATAGCCCCGAGAAAGTAAACATATCCAAATCACCCGAGTACAGCTTCGGCCTTAAAACTGAAATACATGAGAAAAACGCTATACCAGGTGCGTTTTCGCTAATTCACAATTCCTAATTGATCGCTCGGTAATCACCAATATTATAATACCGACCATTTTACTTGAATTTCACATTTGTGTGACTTTACTTTCAAAATTATATATAATATTTCAGGACCAGGCGAGTACAGTCCAGAAAAAGCTATGCTTTTATTGGAGAAAGCATTGCAATTTAGTTTCGGCCTTAGACCGCCCATTAGTAGGCCAAGCGACATTCCAGGTAAATAATTTATCTAATCTATCGATTTTAGCCAGGGATGCGGTAAAAGTGAATTTTTCGTTGCATGTTACACCATAGCGAATTTATTTGCACACGCTAACGTGCATGGAACTTTATAGAAATGCATCGATTAGCTTTTCGCAGGTATAGCCTTGTATATCAAGTTAAATGTTATAATATTTTCTTTTCCATCTCCTGAAAAGTCCACAATATAAATTACGTACAATAGTATTTCATGTGAGACGCAAATTCTTGCTAAATTTTATGGAATCTGATGGGAAAACATAAGCTGCTGTTAATGCGTCAGAAGTAGAGAAATATATACGACGTAAATGGTGGATGAAAATTGTTTTCTACGAATCGCGTGAAATAATCTAGAATGCATGTCCGCGGATATTTTGAAGGAAATAATTTGATCGGATTTCAGCACCTAATGTTTATAACATCCCATCCGCTCTCGGCGGAACTAAAGAGGGCAACAAGAAAGCGGCACCCGCCTATTCGATATCTAGTAGGCAGAAAGTGTTCACGGACGATCGTGTTCTCGTACCTGGACCGGGAGCATACGAAGCCATCAAACCGGACGCAGTCAGAGCAAAGAGTCCGGCGTACAGCATAAGCGCACGTTTCTCTTTACCCGACGATAACTCACAGATCCCAGGACCTGGAGCACACTACCCGGAAAAGGTAGGAGATAAATTAATATGGTTATTTAGCGCAATCCTCTAATCATACATAATATGTTGAACATTCATGTAATTATGTTTCAGGTTGTTCTCGATATTCCTCCTGCACATACATTTGGTATCAGGCACTCGCCGTTCATTTGTAACTTAAAGGATGCGGTTTATTAATTTATCTCATTTAAGACGTACTTACTTTTCTCATTATTCTTGATTGACGCTATTGATAAACAAATCTTAGAAACGGTTTTTCTTTTCTTTGTTTTCAATTTAAGATCTGTAGTGCACCGAAAAATTTTAGTGATAAAATTTCAACGGTAAAAATCAACTGTAACCATTAGTTTTTATATTGCGTAATTGTTATATCACGAAACGAGACAACTTAAATACTTAATTAGGACTATTGCAAACATAAATGCATCTAGTGCGACACATTGCAAAATCTTAATGTTGCATAAAGAGAGCAAATAGCGCTTTATCTCATCACTAATGACTATTCAACTAATGTAAGAAAATTTTATGCACATTAACATAAAAAGAATCTATTTGATTAATTCATTAAAGATTGATTAATATAATGCATTGATATTTCTTATTATTCTTTAGCTTTAGAAGATATAAATATCTTTCCTGTAATGTAAAATCAGTGTTATACTAATTTTGTGCTTTTACACAGCCGCAGTAAAAAATGAAAGGCGTTGAATAAAAAGAACATGCATTTATTGTATATATATATATATATATATATATATATATATATATATATATATATATATA